GATCAGGCCCTCTGAATAGGTGAGACAGTTGATTGGCTTGAGCAGTTTGGGAGGCAAGTAGGCAGTGGGACTAAGTCCTGTGCTCATTGCATGAGTTGGCTGTTTGAAAACTGGAGCTTATGCAGGGACACTTGGCTCAGTCTGGGAGGAAGGGACTGGACCTGCCTGGACTGAGTCTAGCAGGTTGATCTCAGTCCTTGGGGGAGAATTTTCCCTGGATGAGGTGGGAATGGGGGGTAGGCTGGGGGTAAGGGAAGGGGGTGGGAGGGGGGAGAATAGGGGAACCTGTGGCTGATATGTAGAACTGAATGGTGTTGTAAAATAAAATAAAATAAAATAAAATAATAAAAAAATAAAAAATAAAAATAAAAATAAATTATCAAGCTGGACTTTCAAAGTGGAAAATTTTGGTGTTCTTAAGTTAGGATGTAGCATGAGGTAGCCCAGGGAAAGCACAGATAAGGACTATGTATTTTACAGATTCTCAACCAAACCTACATGTTTTCTAAAATTTTGTTAATACATGTATTCTAAAATTTTGTTAATAATTCGTGTGTATGTACATTATCACATTCACTAGAATTATAAATAAGCCTAGAATAAAACTCAAGAAATCAAAACACTAGGAATGAATGGCCTTGGTATCTATATCCTTGTAAAATAAATCATACTCTGGTTTGAAAAATTATATCACTGGGGGGGAAAATATATAAGCAATACACATATTCTTTATAATATTTATGTCTGATACAAATCTGCAACTGTTCAATAGGAAATTCAATTAAAAAGTGCATGCCTTTAATCCCAGCACTCAGGAGGCAGAGCCAGGTGGATCTCTGTGAGTTCGAGGCCAGCCTGGACTACCAAGTGAGTTCCAGGAAAGGCACAAAGCTACACAGAGAAACCCTGGCTTGAAAAACCAAAAATTTTTTTTTTCAATAAGACAACACAGCAGATATAAAAAGCTTATTTCAAAAGCTTCAAAGTGAAAATAAGATATAACAGCTGATTAACTGAGGAGCCCAATGAGCACTTTGAGATTATCTTGGCCAAACCATCAGTGAGCCAATTCATGTAGTTGGACTCTGTCTATGAATACTAGGCTCCATTCAATTGGGTAATTTTGAGTTGGCTAGCCAAATAGAGGATGTTTGTTTTCCTCAAAATGTCATTTATCACTATTTCTCACAATTATGAATTATAGATAGAGCTAGACAATGGTATTCTTGATTAACCCAATTCCAGTTCAAGGAATCAAAGGATTCCTATATCCTTTTCACCTTCCTAGCTGTGGAGTCTGAGCTGTCCTGTTCTGAAATAGAACTACTATGTTAGTCATAAGTCTAGTTGCATAAGCTTGCTAACAGGAGGTAAAGAAGCCACTTTCAAAGGGAATGTTAACTAGTGGATAGTTGAGGCAAATAGCAGTCTAAATCCTCAAAGGATGCCTGTAGTTATTTGCATCTCCCTTTATCAGAGGTGACAATCAGTAAAGTTACCAGTTCAGAGACCAGTCATTGTACAATAAGGCCATCAGGTGGTAGATTAAAAATGTCTCGACTCTTCTCTAGATGTGATCACTCTCAACTGACACCATTCACTCTAATTTTATTTAAAAAAGAAAGACATATACTGCATTAATTGCTATAATATACTCAGACATGAACATATGAACAGAAGTGTATAAATTTACCTCAACATATTTCTGCACTTAGATCCTACCCCTTCCCTGAAAATGTGTCCTAGTGTTTTTTAGGCACTCTTTCTCCCAAAATGGACAAGTTGAATGAAAGCATGGAAACTTGCACCAGAAAGAACAAAATAATCAGAGTTATACCTATCCACAGTCTCAATTATGTTTGGGTAATTTTATATTAAACCTCTTGAGGACATAGATTCTCATCCAGTAACATTTTCTCTTGGTAGTGTGGGTCTATAGAAAAGATGGAGAAATGATTAGTGATCACACAGGATGGAAATCTCACTGTGTGCTACGAACAAGGTATATTTTGCTGCATTTTGGAGTTTGGCTCTTGTAATTAATTATTTATAGTACCACCATTTACCTATCATATTCTTGCCTCCCACATTAATTGAATTGAGTTCACATACTTCGTATTGTTATTCAGTATCTCTAAATTCCCAGGATTTAAAAGTTCAGTGCAAGAGCATAGGTGCAACAATGATTTGTAAGGTCACAACTTTCTGCCAAGTCCATGACAAAATGAGTTATTTCTGAATGATGCATTGGTAGAAGAGTTAGAACCATTTGAGAAGGAGTGAGAAACCCCAAACCCTTCCCTGGGGTTATCATTGGAGCTAAATTTTGCTGTTCTATGTCCTATGAAGTTACTTATTGGCAGGAAATAAAGAACTTTATGGACTAGCTATTCAACAAATTTGATCATTTATTTTGTTGCTGTTGCCTATTGATTTCTCTCAGGTCAGATTACTTATCTAGACTATCAACTTTCTTTTATCTAAAAGACCAATTCTTCATGCCCAGCACAGTCTTACTACCTCATAAGCCAGGATGAACCAAAGAATTACCAAGTGAAAAAATTAGCCTCCTGCACATTTGTGGATACAAGCACAGCATTCTAGATTCAGAACCAAGAAATTTTATGCATCACAAAATATGACAATTAGCATATTGTGTTCCATACATAATGTTCCTTTATATGACAGGTTCCCTGAGCATTGGGTACCCAACTCCTAATTTAGGCTTTGCATGGTTATAAAAGACAGAGAGGGTGACTTCAGCCAGGAAAGCAGGTGGGCTAACTGCAGCTTTCACTTCTGCTTCAGCTCACCCAAACCAACCTCCAGTGTTGGAATCCCCAGTGACCACAACTAGCAGGATCCCAGAAGAATTTCCTACCAGGCAACACAACCACCATAGTTTCCCAAGAACCAGAGAGGAAACAGAAATCAAGAAACAAAATACCCACTCAACAACCAACTCAACCCACTCATGTAGAATTATATCTTTCCAAACCCAGATGCCTAGATGCCAGTAAAAATACATCCAATAACAGCCAAGATAACACATCTTCACTAGACCCCCAAAAATCTACCAAACCAAGCCTTGAGCATTGCAATGCATAAGACCTTAAAATAGCCTTTATAAATATGATAGAGGCTCTGAAAGAGGATCTGTATAGATTCCATAAAGGAATCTATGAAAACAAAAACAGCGAAAATAAATAAAGGAGTTGAAGACCTGAAAGCAGAAAAAAATAAAGAAAACAAAAACTGAGAGAAATCTGAAAATGAAAACTTTAGGAACTCAAACAGGAACTACAGGGCAAGACTCAACAACAGAATACAAGAGGTGGAAGACTCTCAGGCATTAAAGACACAATAGAATAAATGGATACTTCTGTCAAAGAAAATGTTAACTGGTGCTAGGGAAATTCCCAGGAATCCACAAGGATAAACCCAAATTAGACTACTGGCAATAGTAGAGAGGGTGCCTGAAATGACCTGCCCCAGTAATCACATTGCAGAATACCCTGTCACCCTAGAGCCTTCATACATTAAATGATGGAAGCAGATGCAGAGATCCACAGCCAAACTCCAGAAGTCCAGTCGAAGACAGAGAAGAAGGATTATATGAGCAAGGGGGGTGTGCTGTGGGATGGTCTGTATGTCAAATTGTTCGGATTGGTCAATAAATAAAGCACTGATTGGCCAGTGGCCAGGCAGGAAGTAGGTGGCCAGGCAGGAAGTAGGTGGAACAAGGAGAGAGGAGAATTCTGGGAAGCGGAAGGCTGAGGCAGAGAGACACTGCCAGCTACCAGCCACGTGGCAAGGTATAGGTTTATGGAAATGGATTAATTTAAGCTATAAGAACAGTTAACAAGAAGCCTGCCATGGCCATACAGTTTGTAACCAATATAAGTCTCTGTGTTTACTTGGTTGGGTCTGAGCGGCTGTGGGACTGGCGGGTGACAAAGATTTGTCCTGACTGTGGACAAGGCAGGAAAACTCTATCTACAGGGGTGGGATCAAGATCATGATGGGAAATCTATAGAGAAAACTGAAACAAGCTCATGGTAACTCAGAAACTTTAGACCAACAGCTGTGAAGCCTGCATGGAACCAGACTAGGTCCTCTGCAAATGGGAGACAGTTGTGTAGCTTAGTTCGCTTGATGGGCCCCTGGCAGTGGGATCAGGATCTATCCCTGGTGCATGAGCTAGGTTTTTAGAAACCATTACCTATGGTAGGATGCCTTGCTCACCCTTGATGCAGTGAGGAGGGACTTGGTCCTGCCTCATATGAAAGTATCAGGCTTTGCTGACTCCCCATGGGAGGCATTTCCTTGTGGAAGAGGAGAAGAGAGGTGAGTAGGAGGGGAGGCTGGGGGGAGAGGGAGGAGGGATAAGAGGGGGATCTGTGGTTGGTATGTAAAATGAATTAAAAATTTTAAATAAAAAAGAGAAAATGTTAAATCTAAAATACTCCTAGCACAAAACACTTAGTAAATCTGGGACACTATGAAAACAGCAGATCTCAGAATTAATAAGAATGGAGGAAGACGAGAAAACCCAGGTCAAAAGCACAGAAAATATTTTTTAAAAAGTCAGAAGAAAGTTATCCTAAACTAGAGGAGATGTCTGTCAAGGTATAGGAAGCATACACAACACCCAAATGACTGGACCAGATGAGCTAGTCCCCTTGGTACATTATAATAAAAAACTAAATGTAGTGAACAAAGAAAGAACATTAAAAGCTGCAAGGGACCCCTATGATGTCCAGCACTGGGCTCTGACCACCCTGAGGACACGGTGCCCCCCCCCCAGGACCTTTGACACCCTGGGGTCTGAGGGGTCCTGGAAAGAAAAAAAAAGCTGCAAGGGAAAAATACCAAGTAATATACCAAAATAGATGTATTAAATAACACCTGACTTTTCAATGGAGACTCTGGAAGCCAGAAGTGGCATGGACTATATGGAGACCATTGCCGATTGAAAATGTTCTAGCATTTCAACATCGAAGATCACAATTCTCCAGTACTCTTTCACTTTCATTTCTAACGATTCTCACTATATGTTATGGGAATTCTCTTATACCTTTTCCTTTGGGAAATTTTGTGTTAACTTCAGTGCAGGATGAGGATGTATACAATGGCAGCCTCTTTAAAAACCTTCTTTGCAAAAAAATCTACCCACCATGAAACCATATAGCATGATAACTCTACCTACTCCCACACAAGTTACCACCAAGCTGCCTGAAAACTTATATAAGTAACATATGCTTGATAAATAAGTTTTATTTGATAATCAAAATTTATAAATCTCTTAGGTCTACTAAGGTCCACCGTAAAATTTGCCTAGCTTCATTTTTGTTCACTTTATGCTTTATCTATTTGGATAAACTAAATCACACAAAAATTGCAATATTCTCTAATGGAGTATCTAGTGCCTCAAGAAAGTCCTTTTTCCTAAGGTCAACCATTTAAACAAAAGCCATTTCTTTAGGGGTTCAAGGAAAGTACCTGCTTGATACAAATGGAGTTAATTTCCCTATCTTTGGCAAGAGGAACTTGTGGTCCTTCCATTAACACTCAACTTTTGTGCCTTTTAACTTGTCAGGCTCCCTCAGTTCCTGTTTACAAGCTCCACTCCAGCTCACAAACCCTATTTCTCCCACTCTCATTTAATCATAAGTGCAATTATACATACATATATATATATATATATATATATATATATATATATATATAATTGTGTATAAATGTGTAAACTCTTTTCAATGAAGCAGCAGCCTTCCTGATCACTCTCACATCATGTCAGTCTCCTTCAGTTGCAAACTCCATATCTCCTCTTTGGAACCTGACCACTGCTGGACCTGTACTTTGGCACTAAAGGGCCTGAGCATATTATACAGACTCTAAGAGACCACAGATGCCAGGAAAACTTTTAATTACAATAGTGGGAGAACATAAAACATTCTGTGATAAAATCTAATTTAAACAATATCTATGTACAAATCCACCCTTACAAAATATCCTAGAAGGAAAACTCAAACCTAAAGAGGTTAACCACACCCATGAAAATACAGGAAATGAATAATCTCAGACCAGCATATCAAAAGAGGGGAATCATGCAAGCATGTTCACACATATAATCACACACCACCTCAAAAACAACAACAAAAACATCAATATAATAGAAGTCAACAAACATTGCTCATTTGATATTTTTCAACACCAGTGGTCTAAATTCCCCACCAAAACCAAAGCAAAACAAAAAACAAAGAGTAACAGAAAGGATTAAAAAAATAGGATTCATATTTAACAGCACTCCTAAAAGCCCTAAAACAAAAAAGAAAAAATCACACTTAATAGTAGTAGATGGCAAGAAATTTAAAAAAAAAAAATCAGGACTGAAATAGATAAAATATAAACAAACAACAACAAAAGTTCCAAAGAATCACTGAAGCAGAGTTTGTTCTTTGAGAAAACCAATAAGACTGACAAACCCTTATGCAAGCTGATTAAAAGGTAAACAATATCTAAATTAAAAAATTAGAAATGAAAATGGGAATATAACAATAGACACTGAAGAAATCCAGAGAATCATAAGGACATACTTTAAAATTTGTACTCAACCACATTTGAAAATCTAAAAGAAATGGATCATTTTCTTTTTTTTTTTTTTTTTTTTTTTTCCAAAACCAGAGTTTCACATTTATTTCAATGGTTCAGAAAATATATACACACATATATACACATACATACAATGTCGTGTGTGTGTGTGTGTGTGTGTGTGTGTGTGTGTGTGTGTGCATGTGGTGGTATTGTGTTCCCCAATATATCGTGCACTCTAATAAATTTATCGGGAGGTCAGAGAACCGAAAAGCCACTAGATATAAAGGCAAGAAAATGGTGGCACACACGCCTTTAATCCTATCACTTGGGAGGCAGAGATCCATTCGGATCTCTGTGAGTTTAAAGCCACACTGGAAACAGCCAGGCATGGTGATTCACGCCTTTAATCCCAGGAAGTGGTGGCAGAAAGCAGAAAGGTATATAAGGTGTGAGGACCAGGAACTAAAGCTGGTTAAGCTTTCAGGCTTTCAAGCAGCAGTTCAGCTGAGATCCATTTGGATGAGGACACAGAGGCTTCCAGTCTAAGGAAACAGGATCAGCTGAGGAATTGCAAGGTGAGGAAGCTGTGGCTTGTTCTGCTTATCTGATCTTCCAGTGTTGACCCCAGTACCTGGCTCCAGGTTTGTTTTTATTAATAAGACCTTCTAACAATTCGTGTAACTTGTGTGTAGATTAACACACAAAGAAAACATAGTAAAACATTAAAATTGGGAATCAAAGTACAAAGTGTGGAAAAGTTCACTGTATTGCCTGTCTTGCTACCTTTCTGTAGCTTTAGGATTTTAAATATAAGGACACACATCTCAGTAATTACACAGAGCTAACCTACACCACCTACACGCAGAAACACTGGCAGCAAAGTGATAATGCAGAACACTGGGAAGGATAACCTTGTGAGGGAGAACATCGCAGGAGCTTCTGATACTGCAATACCTCCACTCAAGTATTAGTGTTGGAGTTTCTTTTCTAGTTATTAATATTATATAGTCCACACATTTTTTTTTTTCTGAGTACATAATTCCACACTGGGAAAAGGTTTTAAAAAAAAAAAGGGATAACATATATAAAAATATTTTTGAAGGAAAATCACTACTCATGATTTTGTGGGTGTGTGCATGTATAAAAATAAATGGTTTTGCCTTGTAAGGTATAAGGGGGCTTTTGCTAAGGAAGCCACACACCCGAGGTCAGGTTATGGAAATGTACTCACTGTGAGCTAATCATCTTAATTTTCCAAGAGATAGTTCTAATACAATCACCAATTCTCAACACTGGATAGCTTGACATTAGATAATATGTTTTTCTAAACAATTTCCATAGATTGTAGAACATGCTACAGTAAGAGTTTACACACACATTCTGTATATGCAGCTTAGGTTCTATTGTGAAAACCTGAAAGTTTCTGTTGTTCAAGTGTTATAAATAATTTATATTGCTCCTGGGTCAGTTCTACTGATTCTGAACAGCCTTTTCTGACACCCCCATTAGGACGTCAGTGTGTCTGCTGAGCCCTCTGTGGCCGACTCCGTGCTGTCATCAGGCCACCTAAGTGTCTCCATCCTCGCCATCTGAGTGGGTGTCATCATCTAAATCCTCATCACTGTCCTCCTTCCCTTTGCAGCTTCTTCTGTGGTTAGAATCTTGATTTTCAGTATGTGCTGAAGTTTCTGGTTCTCTATTAAACGGAATAATGATGTCTTCTTTCTTTCCACACTTTGCACAAACTTCAAGTTCACAGGCACATGGTCTACACATTATGTGGTAAGAGTCCTTGACCGTCTTTTGTAAACATTTAACACACTTCTTAGGCTTTGACAATGGTTTGTACTTGCTGTATTTTACACGCCACTCAAGAACTTCTTTGCAGCGCTGACACACTCCATCATGAAGTTTGGCATTAATTTTCTTGGTCTGCACACTCTTATCGAACTTGTCATTTTTGAAGGTGAACGTATTCTGGTGCTTCTGAGGCCTGGACCGAGCCACGTTGCCTTTCTGGGAACTCATCACAAACTCACAAGCACCTTAAGTCGGTGCAGCAGCCTTAAAGTTACAGGGAAGCGGAAAGAAACTCTGGATCATTTTCTTGATGCATACTACTTACCAAAGTTAAATCAACATCAAATAAACCATTTAAACAGACTTTATTCCATGTTGAAATAGAAGCCACGATTAGAAGTTTCCAAACCAAAAAAAGCCAAGGATCAGATGCTTTTAGTGCAGAATTCTACCAGCCTTTCAAAGAAGAGTTACTGTCAAATTCTCTTCAAATTATTTCACAAAAGACAAACAGAAGGAACATTACCCAACTCATTTTAGGAATCCACACTTACCCTGAAACACAAACCACATAAAAACCCAACAAAGAAAGAGAATTATGAACATAGATGGGAAAATTCTCTATAAACTATCTGAAAACAAAGTCCAAGAACACAACAAAAAATTATCCACTCTTATCAATTAGGCTTTATAACAGAGATGCAGGGATGATTTAAAATACAGAAATTGTATGTTAATGTAATCCATCATCGAAAGCAATTTAAGGACAAAAATACAATGACAATCTCATTACATGCAGAAAAGGAAAATGACAAAATCCAACACCTTTTCATGATAAGTCCAGGAGTAATTACGAATACAAGGGGCAATCCTAAATATATTAAGAACAGTTTACCACAAGATGATGGTCAACATCAACTTAAATGGAGAGAAACTCAAAACAATTCCACTAATGTCACAAATAAGACAAGGTTGTCTATTCTCTCCATATCTAGTATAGATAGTACTTGAAGTCTCATCTAGAGCAATAAGGCAACTGATGGTGATAAAACAGATACAAGGTGAAAGAAAGAACTTGAAGTATTTTCATTTGGAAATGATATGATAGTATATAAAAATTACCCTAAAACTTTCACAGGGAGCTCCTACAGCTCATAAATACTTTAAAAAATAGCTGGATACAAAATTAACCCATAAAAATCAGTAGCCATACTACATACAAATGATTAAAAGACTGAGAAAGAAATCAGAGAAATACCACCTTTCACAATAGCCTCAAATAATATAAAATATCTTTGGGGTAATGCTAACCAAGCAAGTAAAAAACTTATATGTTAACAACTTGAAGACATTGAACAAAAATTTGAAGAAAGTTTCAGCAGATGGAAAGATCTCACAAGGTCAGTAGAATTGATATAGCAAAATGTTCATCTTACCAAAA